ATGGATCTTCTTGTTTAAGAAGAAAAAGAAGAAAAAATTCATTTGGCATTTTTAGTTGTTCTCAATAGGAAGGGAGTTCTGGCACCTAATCCACCATTTTGCTGAACTAGAAGTCCTGCTCTGATGTTTCTCAAAGGATCTGTCACATGTAGCTCATAACAAATCTGTGTCCTATGAGATGATAGGACAAAAAGAAGTGAAATATACAAAAACAACGATAAACCTCATCTCTGTCCACATTCCAATTTTATTTGTTTTCTCTTTGAAGTATATATGCATGTGACATCTGGTTATTTGTGTCATAGAAGTTAGGTTTTTTCCTTCTGTTTTTAATCTCTTATCTTTGTGAAAGAAATGTTAACATAAAAAGTCAGGTTTGCCATATTATAATCTCATAGGAATATTACAAGGTAATTTTGTCTTCTAAGCAAAAATTCTTAGTGTTTAATGGATTAGGAACAAATATTGAAATCTTCTAGTCTTAAAGTATGGTTAACATTGTCAAAGTCCAGAAATTCAGATCTTTAGGCAATAGAGTAAAAAACTAACTAATAGAAAACAAAACCTCCCCAGAAAACAATTTATATTATCACAAGCATCAAAATTAAATGATTGACCATGTATGTTTTCTATTCTACAGTAATTTAAAGATAACGAACTTGCATTCTGAGATAGGAGAACGTTGTGCATTTTTAACCTCAACAAGATTAACCAATACTGAATGCTCGAAAGTTTACAACTGTATCTGTGAGAAGACTGTGAATTTCCTTGGTTCAACATAGATGAAGAACAATGTGAAATTGGAATTTGTCATATTTTGTTTGCTTACTGTAAACACTTGTGATTGGATTATTTATAAGTAAATGCTTTTAACTTACACCATTGTGGAGAGAAAATAAAGATGATCTGAAAGAAGTCAAAGGCCCAGAGGTGAATGAATAAAAAATTTGTGGTATATACATACACTGAAATAATACTCAGTTAAAAACATAGAATGAATTAAAAAAAAAAAAAGGATGAATTCCAAAATGTTGCTGAACAAAGAAACCAGGTATAAAAGAGTACACAATGTATGCTTTTAATTTTATGAAATTATAGAATAAATAAAACTAATCTATAGTGAGATTTCTCATGTGGCACTGTACGGCAAGCAATAGACTGCTAACTGCAAGGTCGGCAGTTCAAACCCACTAGTAGCTCCATGGAGACACCATATGGTATTGCTATGAGTAGAAACTGACTCAATGCACACATCAACAGCAATTTATACTGACAAAGGGTAGATTCCTGAGTGCTTAGAGCTAAAGGTCAGTGGACTAGAAACTCCAACCTTTTGGTTAGTTGCTAATTGCTTTCACCTTTTGTACACCCAGGGTGTGTCATTATCCTTTATCTGTCTATGTTTCTCCATTCTGTTACTTACATACCCCTCAGGTAGTCTCTGAGAAAGCTCCAGTCTAAGAGTTTGGTCAAATATTATTTAGACACTAGATCTGTCATAGCGCCTGTCAAGGTGAACAGGATGGAGATGATGCTAAGGTCTGGCCCTTGAAAAGGTATGGAAACACAGCTTTACAACCATGGCTGTACAAGTGTCCCTGAGGCTGCTCTGGCCAGGAAA